AATCGCAAGGACGAAAACCACTTTGATTATGTTGGACACAAACATTTTGAAACTGCGACAACAAGTGTTGCTTACAAATAAATTACTAATTTAAATAGACTCCGTTCGAGTGGTATTAATACTATTTTCAAAATTTAATTAAAGCGGTATATTTATGGACCGTTAAACGTGGTCTTTTTTAATTGAAAACTACATCTTTATTGGAGTACGCGTGTACACCTTAATTAAACATTTTTTTACTAAATTTTAATCATCACGTAACAAAAATATTAATTGGATTTTGCCAAACAGAGTTTTACTAAAGTTCTAACGTCCGTTTTAATATCGATCGTTTTGCAATAAAAAAATGGTCGCACAAGAAATATGTATAAACGTTTTAGTACAAGTTTTTTTTTTTGTAAAGCCAAAATTTAAAAAAAAATTTAGGAAAAAAGCGTTTAAAATGTATATAAATGCTATTTTTAAAACATTATACGGTTAATTGTTTGTACTTTGTATGATATGTCTCGTGAAGTAAAAGAACGATAAATTTGTTTTGTACTGTAATTAAATAATATTTATTAAGTAGCCAAATAATAAGATTTAAAAAATAAAATTTTTAGCTTAATTAGTTTACGGCAACAACCCTGATCATTTGATAATTAACTTTACAAGTATATTTTATCATCTACAGATTCGTGTCAAAGCTTTTGTTTGAAAGTGAATTTATTTTTTAATTAATTATTATTATAGCTTACATGGACTATCGGTATTGTTCTAAAGTGTTCCATTTATGTCGGCAATACTATTTCTAGTCAAAAAAAATTAATGAGTTTTCAGTGCTATCAGTTTTGGTAAGTATAACTTAAATGTAGAGACAATTTTCTTCTTAAGGCTATACCACTATAATGTTATATCTATACATTATTAATCTTTGTTGTGTATAGAAATAATACTAAACGGACTTTAAAAAAAACAGCCCTCACTCGTTTGTTTACATTAAATGTGACCCTTCTGCTTTTATATATTCTGTGATTTAACCACAAAATAAACAGAAGGAAATCTTAAAGTTTATCAAAACTCTCCTGCTATTTTCTGTTCCCCGCCATTTTATATAGTGAAATGTCTTGTACAATAACTTAAATTTCTAGAATGTGGTCACACTAAATCGAGGAGCAATGCAGTTATCGGCTAACGACAAATTGCATCATTTTGTTTTATCTAATCCGTGATAACACCACCGATTAAATAAACCCATAAAAATGTAAACAGACTATAATAATCTCAGGTCAGTGTGACCAAAAAATAATCCTTCTGTTCTACAGTGTGGCCAAAGAAATTTGATCGAGCATCTGTAATGTTATCACCGTCGACCTTGGTTAATCAACTACTCGTTATCAGTACCTCTTATCAGTTTACATTGTTATCGCAATGGCGTGTACAATATTTTTGGCCCTACACTCAAGAGTAAACCAATCAATAATCGTTATTTGAAAAATATTTTGTTTTACCACACAATAAAAAGAATCTTAGAGTTCTTAGTAAGTAAGTTTCTTAGTTCTAAAAATATACATACGTCAGCGGATTTTTCGATTTTTAACCCGACCGGCCGAACGAAGGCTTTAAATAGAATTTTTTTTTTTTTAAAAGAAACCTATAAACGGTCGCTAATTAATTTTTATTATTGCCGGCTTTAAAAAAAAAAAAAAACGTACGCGGCCAATCTCGAGTACGGTCTGGGTCGATTTTTATTGCCATTTGTTTTTAACCTTTCAGCACGGGCCTGCCACACATGCAACAATAATTGTTTTTTACGTTAATATACCGTAAATTATGATCATCTGTATGTGTGTGTGTGTGTAATGTGTAATAACTTTGGCCAACTCGAGAGTGTATTGACTGCATTACTATTATTGTATTATAACGTCGTGGCCGCCGCCGCCGCCGTCGTCAGTGGTGTTTAAAACGTTATACCGGAAACACATAATGTTTTGTAAATTAGCAGCGCCTAAAAATAGTCCATAGTAAATACATAAAAAAAAAAAAATAACCCTCCGTCAAAATATGTGTTACACGATATTTTTGTATAAATTATTAATAATATACTTACTGTAAACCACCGACGCGTTTCTACGCGTCCACAGCTCCTCGTCGTGGGTTTAATTTTTTTTTTCAATCCGAAGATTGGTTAAATGATTATTGATGTCTCTCTCCACTTATCTCTGTCATTTATAATCCTCTTCAGCTCCCAGTATGTTCCTATTCCGGTATCTTCCATCGCCTGCTTCGGAAATGGAGTTCTAGGCCTTCCTCTTCCAGGTTTTCCTTCGATTTTCCCTCTATTGTTGTGGTTATCCAGGGACTGTTCCTTATTACGTGTCCGATCCATGCTTTTCTTCTCAGTCCTACAGTATTCCATATTGATTTTTGGGTATTCATTCTCCTGAAAACCTCGGCATTTTTTATCTTTTCTGTCCATGACATTTTTAGCGTTCTTCTCCAACACCATACTTCAAAGGCTTCTGTTCAAACACACAAAGCTTTTTATAAGTGCTTTCCCGGTGTCCAGACTTATTCTGTTTGAAGTAAAAAGATTTCTTTTTTTTTATAACAGGCCTGTTTGGCCTGCGCTATTCTACACACTATAACTGTATGGCTTTTCCCATCGCTTGTGATTTCGCTCCCCAGGTATGTGAACCTCTGAACTGTCTCCAGCGGTATTCCATCTAGAGCTATGTTTGCATAAATCTGCTGTTTGCTACGTATAAGGATCTTGGTTTTCCGTTGATTTATTTTCATGTAGTGTTCTTTAAGCGTGTCGTTCATTTTTTCGAGCATGTTAGTTATGTCTTCTTCACTTTCTCCGATTACAGCAATATCGTCCGCGAAACGCAGCATTTGCACAAGTATTCCACCTATCTTTGCTCCTCCAATGTTTTCTTTTCTTACTACTTTTAAGCCTTCTTCTGTATTATATAGATTAAATAAGGTAGGTGATAGATTGCACTCTTGTCTTACCCCCTTACCCTGGGTTTAATAAGAAATTTAACTTTTTTTTTTGTCAGTATTTTTTATACATTTTGATCTCGATTTTTTTTTTGACCGTCTACATCATATTTGGGCCAACTTATAATTATTATTATTGTGAAAGTATAACACTGTGGTTCTTAGTCGGCCCTGTACCTACATAATATGTAATTTTACCAAAAATAATAATAAAACGACTTACCCCCTCGCGGTCACGGTACGTTATTATATTTTGTGTTGCATAGTATGTTGTATAATTTTGTACCTTTAATCTAAATAACACAATCAAGGACAGTGAATTTTCTTGTCTGTGTCACGCCCAAACGACGCTAACGACTGCTCATTGTTCCGTTTTGTTATGTGTGTGTTCAACTGTGTACTGTGGCTCGTTTGGTAAATAAAAAGCAATCCAGAAGGAAAAATATGAAAAATGAATAATTTACAGCTATTATTTGTCTGCTGCGTAAAACCTACGAGGACAAAATAATATACTAAAGGAGGGCCATTCATCATCCCTGGGCATAGGTACACAAACAATTATACAGTTGACAGCGCATAATGTTTAATAATATTAAACCGTGTTCTGTGTTGGAGGTTTTTCTGGAAATTTGGACAAATTACAATAATATTCCAGCTATTTTGGTATAATTTCTTCATTTTTAACACATACTTATTATAGTCGAACGGTGGTCGCATAAACGGCGGATGTCCTGCATTATGCGTTTCCGGCATTACTATTGGAAGTAACAACATAATAATAATTTTGCGATCAACAATATCCTGACTGCAGCGACAGGAAGAGGCTAATGCAAAGGCATTAAATTTAAATGGGCAAGGCGATGATTTTCCAGCAACTACCTAAAGCGATATCGAGAAAACTATAATGTGTTAAACCGCAAACCGTAGATGTCGCTGCAAAGAGTAACGTTAGAGTGAATATATCGGGTCGGGTTTTTCAACGGTATTTATACACTTGTCCAAAAGCAATCTAAAGTACTAGCGTTTAGAGGCTATTCGGAAACGGTACTTAATTTAGTATAACTAGGTCTATACAAAAAAAAAATTGAACCTTGGCGTGTGCAGGCACTTAAAAAATTACTGCGAGACACAAAAATATCGCCTATTTAGAATTTCCCGTTTGAAATCGTGAGATATAAAATGTTCCTTAGCTTGCTGTAGCGTTTATAACAAGGCTGTGTGTGGCAAATAACGAAGGCTAAACAAAATATAAAGATTGCCGTTTTATGATTGTACATAATGCGAGCACTGAGATTACAAGGCGAGCTGAACTTAAGTTGTACGGTGATTATTTATTGATAGCAGCTGGTTTTCTTTTTGTCAAAACTAAGAATCTGTGCACACTTTTGCGGTTTTAATTTTTTTTTTAGCAAGAAAAATGTCTTTTGTGGATGCACCTAAATTTTGGAATCGATTGGAAACATTGCGAGGTACGTTTCTTGGCGATTCAATTATATTTGATAACTTGTAAGATTGGGCGATTCCGTCTAGAAATATTTACTAATGTGCGAGACTAAATCTGGAAATGTATAAAAATATTTTTCGAAAACCAATCTATAATTGTTTAGTTCAGTAGTGTAGGCAAGTCTTAAAATATCAATTAATCTAAAGACAAAGTGGAGTGAGTCGTGCCGGTTTTTTTGCACACATTTTTGTTTCTCCAACTAAGGTTAATTTGACTTATACCACTATGGTTTTCATCCCCTTTTATATTTAGGAGATTTTGATGTTACCACAGTGGCTCGTTGAACGCATATTATGTTTTACATCTCAACGTGGCTTTCGTGCAACCTACCCTAACCTCAGGCCAAGTTAGAGTACAAGATGGAGAGGTCAAGTTGTTTGTTGGAATATGGTAATAAACACAATCAATTCCGTGATTAATATGATATTTTTTTTTATCGAGAAACACAAATTATGGTAACAATGAAATACGAGTAACATAAGTAAATACATTGTATTCATGCGGCATCCGACTAAAAGGAATGAAATCCTCTGGGTTTGTCATAGTCCATTGTCAATCCCGTTCGAAAATGTCCGGACTAATCACTGGGTTTAATTGCGAACAAAAACATACTTTCACCTTCGACACAGTCGGATTTAAGTTGTAGCGTCGCGGCCTTCGGCTTGGGCTTGACAATATACAACGGTTTGCCATTTTCCTGTGTTAAGATTCCAAAGTGGCCCAGATGGTTCAAAAATGCGCTTAATTTGTCGATATCGATGCGGGGCAAAGTGGTAAGTTGTGGCATTGGAGCCGTGGACAACGGTCTGAGGTAGTCGAGCGAATTTTTCGGTACACAGTATGCGTGTATCGAATATTTTCCCAAATTCTCCGTCGATTTGGCCCATACAGCGGATTCCTAAACATAATACCAAATGTAAAATCTTAGAAAACAATTTTTTTTTTATAACCGATTGAGGAGGATTTTAAAGGACTTTAATAAACAGGACTAAAGCATAGCGCCATTGAAATAAAATACATTTAAATTCAAGCAATCCCTCCAAGGAAATACATTGATTGATCATTAACGTGTCTTATGATTGGTTGACTTTGTGTCTCTTATCAGTCGATTCCCTTATCAATTATCTCCACCTTCGCCACGCTTATCACTTTGACGTCCCTTCTCTTCTATTCTCCTCTATCTCCACTCTCACACTATCTTTTTTGTTTTTGTCACACAAGCATAATTAATATTCATGTCAATAGTTGAACATAGTTGGGAAGTTTGAATCTTTCACACAAATGTCTACCCATTTGTAAAAACTAATGTATACATTGCCAAATGTTCCCAATCACTAGAATGTATTTAAAATATTTAAGGTTAAAATAACGGTTATCCCTTTTAAGTAATAATTAAATGTATTTTTCAATGTAGTTATTTGTGTTGTAAAGGTTTGTTGTTATTTTTCTGAAACAGTGAACACTTAGGGTAAAACTATTGTTAGTCTGATGCTAGTATTAAACATTGTTTACACTTGTGTATGTATAATTGGTACATTAGGTCTAAAAAAACCAGGTTCATATCAAGAAACTTTTAGCAAGATATTTTTGACCTTTTTTAATTTTCCATTAGAGTAGATATAAATTAATCGAGATTGAAATTTTGAATAATCTCTAATTTGTATTTTATGTTGTTGTGAAAATAATTTTAATATTATTCTCGTTATTGGTATTTAGTAAATTAGGAATTAATTAAATTTATAAATAATAGTTAATAATATATTCTGGTCCAAGTGCTCATACACCGGTTGGTACATTTTTTTTTTACACGTTTTGTAACTTAAGTCATATCTAACAAAGATTTGTTTTAACTTTTTTTTTTTTTTGATTGTTTAAAAGTTTTCGTTTAAAAAACAGAAATTGATACCTTTTTACTACACTATTATAATAAAATGTATTTTGGGTTATTTATTAATGTTTGTAGTCTCGAATAGTTTCTAGACATTTTGTTTACCATTTATTTGGCGTTTTCTATGTTAAATTACATTTTTTTTAAAAAGATGTAGGAAATTCAAGGCAAACAAATCAGATTTTTTCTTTCAAGAGTTATATTTTATTAGACTTATTACGTACCACAATCGCTAGGACGAAAACCACTTTGATTATGTTGGACACAAACATTTTGAAACTGCGACAACAAGTGTTGCTTACCGCGCTAAGACAAAAAAATTACTAATACAAATAGAATCCGTTCTAAGAGTATTTATACTATTTTCAAAATTTAATTAACGCGGTTTATTTATGGACCGTTTAACGTGGTCTTTTTTAATTGAAAACTACATCTTTATTAGAGTACGCGTGTAAATTTTAATTAAACAATTTTTGCTAAATTTTATTCATAACGTAATAAAAATATTAATTGAATTTCGCCTTAAATAACAGTAATTTCACCTATTTATAGGTTATAACAGTTAATAACAGTTGATATTAGTAATTATCATTAATGTTTCGCGAGTAAGAAATAACGATTAAATTGTAATTGAATTTTTTTCATTTAATATAATATTGACTATGTTTAGATTACTCTGAAAGTTGCAGTCATTCCTGTTTTGCATTTAAACAAAATTTCCAACAAACAGTAAAATACTTCAGACTTACATATCTATAAATTCACATTTTAATTACAAAAAACTCAATTAACATATAAAACAAAACCAACCGTACTTATAAGTCAATTTGAATCCTACAACTTAAAATTACAAAATAATTTCCAGAAACCGCAAGAACACATATTTAGCCCGTTTGTCAACATTTCTTCATTTGTCTCATTCGGATCTATGTTGCTTAAATTTTTATGTTTTTAATTAATTAATTTACTATACAACAATATAAATTTGCACTTGCACTATCGTATGCAGTTAATATTACACGACTTTTTTACTACAGTCGTTTTATTAATTAACTAGTTTTTTTTTTTAGTGCTTTATTATTATCCGCAGTGTATGTGCTCCGTCTTCACTATGCCCTGACCCCCAGACCGTTGGCTCTAAATAAGTATTTTCACTATAGAATATGTACATTAGTGTTGTATATTCGCAGTACGATTATCCATTGCACGACCCATCATAGTCGTGGCACTGGTCGGTGGCGATTTCGCGTTCACGGCGCTCCGGTTATGCAATTCTAATGCGTCCGTGTATTTCGGTCGTCTCTATTGATTTTTTTTACAAGTTTTTTTTTTTTGCACTCGGCGGGGACTATATTGTGTTATTATTTACTCGACCTAACCGTATACCTGTTTCAAGTAAATATAAAATATATTATGATAGATGGCATATCCTTATGTACATAGTATAGGTACTATTATAACGCCTGTCGGTGTAACGTTATACCTACGCAGATATCTCTGTCGAGGGACAGAGCAAAATAATAATTCATTTAACGCGCAATAAATTATTATTATTACAGTCGTTATCTCGTCCGACAGGATATATTATTATGCGGTAGATTAACCGAATAACGATAATAATATTATGTAATATAATATTAATTAATTTAAAGGCCCCCTGGAAATTGAGCGATAACGACAGTTTTCAACGATTTGTGTTTGTTAGTAAGTATAAGTAAGTTTGGTCGATGGAGTTTTGCGTGACAGCTTGAAAGAATTATAAAGGTTTAAATATAATCTTCTTAAAGTTATTATATTTTATTCGATAGAAAACTAAAACCTGATTCAATGGCCAGGGCCAACCTTGTTTCTTTATTTATGAGATTAAACGGTATTTTTTTTTTTTGTGAAAGCTCATTTGACGTTGGAAGGCACACGCGGACTGTGTTATTGCTTGTAAATAATGTTTTATTTACAAAATACTGGTAGTAATAACAATATTTCTTATTTTAATTTTATGTAGAAAATTCTATTGAATAGAAAACTACCATGACCCCCGCGGGGGAGCCATTCGCGGATATAATTAAATTTGACTTGAACGGTCGGGGTCTTCCGTCGCCACACGATCACTTTGGTTCTTAGTGGTAATAGACCCTTAACACATTTTTACCATTTTTTTATACGAGAATAAAAATAAAACTTCTCGAATTACCAAAAAAAAAAGAAGATTTTATTAACAGTCGGTGGAAAAAGTCCAGTTTTCAATGAGTCTTCTGCTCCTGTTTGTTATACTCTTCTTATTCTTAAACTCTTCTTCAAAAATTCAGTTTCAACGATATTTAACTTTTCAGAGCTATCTATAAAATTGTATTAATTTATTTATCCAAATATTGAAAATATTTTCTACAAGTATTCCCTTTAATGTATAGAATAACAATAAAGTTCAACTAAAATGTTGAGCTACACAAATTCAGGCTTTATGCTTCTAATATCACATTTAAAAGGGCTAAGGATTTCCTATTTAAATGCAAATGTCCACATGTGAACTTTTAAGCAGCTTTTTTTGTGAGTTCGCTTGACGCTTTACTACTTAACGCGCTCAAACTCCCTCCTTAATTTCGAAGAATGAATAACTTAGAAAATAATCATTTAAGATAGTATTTTAGATTGAAAACAATTTTTGATTGTACATTAACTGGGAAATATTGTATTCAAATTAAAAGCTAAAATTATTTTTCTACTTTATATACAGGGAGATTCTTTTATATTTAAAATATGATAAAAGAATCACCCTGTATAGGATAACATTTTGTTATGAAAAAAAAATGTATGTTGATAATTTTATGAGTTTATTGTAAATAGGGAAAAAAACAATATGCTACACGCTAATATTGAAGAAATAGATATTTGCCTTAGCTTTAATATATGATAACATACAGGTAGATATTGTACTTTATTAAAGTCTGTGTGTTACATGTTATTATAAACGTTTAATTTATACGTTATCTCTACCTACTATAAAATATAGAAAGTCGATTCTAAGCTCATTCAATTTTTAAAAAAATTATTTTAAATATTTTTACATTTAAACAAATTGTCAACTTGAGCTAAATTTTTCTTTAGCCACGCAAATCTTTGAAATCGATAAACGGCTTTGGTTATTTAAGGTCTTATAAGAATGAACTTGGCATATAGGAGTGCAGTGAAGAGTTTCAGAACTTAGTCTGTTCACTGCAGAGCTCTAAAGTTGTATACTATAAAAACACATCCCCCCCAGAACGTTTGCTTTTTTGTGTTAATTGCCTAATAACCAAATATATATTATATTTTAAATAATTCTTCCCGCCTTGGCAAACGCTTTTTTACTTTCGTCTTGGTTTTAGCACAGTTCGGATGAAACTAAATAGTGCACTTAATTGTAAAACAATAGATTTTCAAACAACGATTTTTGATTGGCTTACTCTTAATGCTGTAGGGCCAAATTATAATGTCAAAAATATCGTACACACCATTACAATAACAATGTAAACTGATAAGAATTACTGATAACGAGAATCTGATTAACGACTCTTGATGGTGATAACATTACAGATGATTGATAATGATTTTTTGACCACACTGGCCTGAGATTATAACAGTTTTGTTTACATTTTTCGATTTTTCCAGAGTGCACTTTCTGGTTTTATCTAGTTTATAGCTGTTTCAGTTTGAATTTGGATTTTTGAAATCCGGATGATCTCTGTATATTTATTTGTTTAAACGATCTTGAAAATGATCTTTAGTTAGGTTTGTTGAAAACATCAAAATAGGTATGTTTGTTTTACTAATTAAAACATTTTTCTTCGTTGATAATTGATTATGATTTCGTAGAATGTTGGTTAACGACATCAAAAATTATTCTTAGACGGGTTAGTCATGTTTATGTGTTGTATCTAATTTCTTATTTATTATATAACAGGTCGCGTTTTAATTGTTGAGCCTTACGATTTTTTTTTTTCCATCAACGAAGGCCATAATAAAATTAAATAAACGTATAAAATGTATGGTTAACGAACGAGTGTTTGACTTTTATAGGTATATTATTACAAAGTCGTTGATAATATTATTATGGCGATGATGGTTTTACGATAGGCCGGTGAGGTTGTCTCTGCTGGTAAGAAAAATGTCAAGGAATGTATTTCTCGAGTGTTGTTGATGGTTTTTTTTTTAAAATTTTTTTTTTTACTTTATCTTTTTTGTCGTTTTCAATTGATCGTGTGCCAATAACAACGAATGTGATTGATAAACTGAATATAAATACAACGTTGCAATAATAATTATTAATTATTTAGTCTCTGTAGAGCCGAGCCCCGAGTGTGAATAGTGAGTGGCGTTGTTAATATTGTAAAAAAAAAATATCGTTTGATAATTTTTATCAATCGACGACAGACGTAGTTGTTTTCATATTATAAAAAAAATATATATAAATATATTCGGTCTTGTTCGTTTGTCGAGAAATTATACTTAAATGCTAACGACTCTGGTGCCCCTGAGAAAATTATTATGTATTGTTGTAGTTTTATTCATTTTGATTTCCCTGATTGTCTGATTAGTATATTTTTTCCCAAGGAACAATTATACATTACTTTTTTAACTACCACGCGGTTTTTATGTAAATCTTGTCTAATGTGTTGCAGAACACTGTTTCGATGGTAATTTCAACGGTATTCCCTCTCAGAATAATTATATAATTTTAGTTGGTTTTCGTTTCAACACCTCTGCAGGAGACCTCAGACCTTACATATAATGTTATAATGCTAAAAATCTAACATGTCGTCAAAGATTTATTTGTATGTGAATGTATTTTATAAAATGATTTATTTTATCTAAAACCGCGAACAAAACGTACTATGATTTATACGTGACTCTTTAATGACATAAAATACAGTTATATAGGTTTCTATTTTTTTTTTTATACATGTACATCTGACGGGGGAATGATTATTTTTGATATATCTTGTTTTAAAACTTTCTAGTGTAGTTTTTAAACGTTGGCAACAATCATATACTAAAACGTCCTTGTCTACCATTTGTGTTTATTTTTTAGGAACAACAAACAAAAAAACTTTAGAGTCTACTATAGTAGTTTTTCACGTTGTAATAACAATCCCTAATAGCACCGTGGGATGAATTTGCCAATAACGAGTAACTATTTGAAACAGATGTTGAAATTTGAATCATATTCCTTATGATGGTAAATAAATATTTTTTTTTTTTATTTGAGCTATTGCCAAATCAGTTCTAAGGAAAAATTCCCCAGAACAAGGAAAAATTCCACTTTGACAGT